ACCCAGTCTGTGGTATTCTGTGTAGCTGCCTCCTACACTGAATAGGGTTAACTTGTGTACCAATAATATACTGCGGAAATGATAGCGTATGAGATAGGTCATAAAAGACACTGTGGCTTCCACCTTATGCACTCTTGCTGTCCTGTTGCTCTGGAGAAAGCCAGATAACATGTCATAAAGACATTTAAGAAGCCCCATGGAGAGGTCTACATGGTGAGAACCTGAGGTCTATTGCCAATAGCCACGTGAGAGTCTTGTTGGAAGGTGATACTCTAGTCCCAGTTATGCCTTCAAATGACAGTAGCCCTGGCCAAGAGTGTGGCTGCAACTTCAAGAGACCCCAAGCCAGAGAACTTCTCAGCTAAGCCACTCCTGAACTCCTGATCTACAAAATGGTGTTAAGATAAATATTTATTGCTATTTAACGGTAACATGTTTTACAGCAATAGATAACTAATATAGAAATGAAGGTTAGAGAAGAGACAATAGACTAGCTCACTGATTGCCCCATTTGTGATAACTGAGAGATAAAGGGTGTCATTTAAAGCTGAAAATGAAGGGGAAGAAATTTAGAAAAGTTGAAGAGTACAGCCAGGGCAGGAGGATCGCTAGAGGATAGGCGTTTGAGACCAGCCTAAGTAAAAGAATGAGACCTTGCCAAAAATAAAAATTGAATACCAATGGAAAGTCAGGGCAAAATGTCAACTAAATTCTAACATACAAGCAAAAAGTAGGAAATTTAAATTTAAATTTAAAATGACAGCACTTAGCGGCAAAAATTCAAATTTCTACAAATTTACATTATTTATTATAAGATTACAAATAATCTTTACATTACTACAAATAATTAAAGAAGATCTAAACAAATAAAAGAATTTATCACATTCATGGGATGAAAGGCTGATAATTTTCAAGATGTCAGTTTCACCCCAATATAGTGGTATAGGAAGCTTAAAAGTAAAGGATAGCAAGTGATATACCATGCAAATCACAATCAAAATAATGCTCAGGTGGCTATGATATCAGGTAAGGTGGATTTCTGAGCAAATAAATAGACTGGTAGAAAGGATGGTCTTTCAATAAAGGGTGCTAGGTCAAGTGAATTTATATGAGGAAAACAAATCATTATTTCCTCTCATGACATACACAAAAATCAATTCCAGGTTTATATACCTACGTGTGACAGATAAATTTAGATGAAAATACAGAATATCTTTATACCTTTGGGATAGCAGAGATTTGAATAGGATACAGAGAGTACAAACCATAAGAGAAAAATTATAATGATCAGACTAATTTTAAAAAGCAATTTCTGTTCATCAGAAGAGAGTGAGTGGGCCCGGCGTGGTGACCCACGCCTGTAATCCCAGGACTTTTGGAGGCCAAGGTGGGAGAATTGCCTGAGCCCAGGAGTTCGAGACCAACCTGGGCAACATGGTGAAACCCCGTCTCTACTAAAAATACAAAAAATTAGCTAGGTGTGGTGGTGTGCACCTGTAGTCCCAGCTATTCAGGAGGCTGAGGCAGGAGAATTGCTTGAACCTGGGAGGTGGAGGTTGCAGTGAGCTGAGATCACGGCACTCCAACCGGGCAACAGAACCAGAGCAAGACTCCATCTCCAAAAAAAGAAAACAAAACACAATATAGATGGCTCTCACAAACATAACGTTGAACAAAAGAAGCCAACATAAAAGAGTACACATTATATAATTCTGCATATATATAAGTCCAAAACAGACAAAATTGATGTATGGTGGTTACTTAGAGCTACTGACCAAACAGAACCAGGAACTTCTAGGGTACAGGTAATATTTTATTTTTTGGTCTGGGTGCTTATTACATGGGTGTTCCCTCTGTAGTAATTCACTTAAGCTGTATAGTTTTGATTGTATTGTTTGTTTGTTTGTTTGTTTTTGAGACAGACTCTCGCTCTGTCACCCAGGCTGGAGTGCAATAGCATGATCTCGGCTGAATGACACCTCTGCCTCCTGGGTTCAGGCGATTCTCCTGCTTCAGCCTCCCAAGTAGCGGGGGGGATTACAGGTGCCCGCCACCATGCCCAGCGAATTTTTGTATTTTTAATAGATACGGGTTTTCATCATGTGGTCAAACTCCTAACCTCACGTGATCCATCTGCCTTGGGCTCCCCAAGTGCTGGGATTACAGGCGTGAGCCATCACGCCCAGCCTGTTTGTTTGATTTTATTATCATGTATACGCTTGTCTGTATGTATGATAAACTTCAATAAAAAGTTTCATTAGGGAGAAACACACCATATTACAAGGCAAATGCCAACAAAAAAATGAGAGGCCATGATCTTGAGCACACCAAAGTCTGCAACCCATAATAAATACATAACAATCATTAATATCTGTATATCAACTAATAAAGCAACAACTTTCATAAAGCAAAAGTTACAGGTTATATAAGAAATAAAATTTCATTAATAGAGAATTTTAATACACCTCTCTCAATCCAAGACAAATCAAGTGCAAGACAAAAAGTGACTAAAGACTGACCGTATATTAGATCATAAATAAAAGTTCATTAAGTTCCAAAGTTTAAAAGTAACACAATATAGCAAAACTGTAAATTATATTATCAGTGAAGAGGGGACCTGTGTACTTTACTGGAAGTCTTCAACATAATAGAATTCATTTTCTTCTGTTTCCCAGCTTCTAGAGAACACCAACATTCTTTGGCTCAAGGCCCACTTCCTCTATCTAGCCAGCAAGGTGGCATCTCTCTTACCATTCTTCTATGGTCACACCTCCCCCTGACTTTAAACTCAGCCAGGAAAGGTTCACTGACTTTAAGGACCCATGTCATTGTATTGGGTCCAACAAGATAATCGCCCCCATTTCAAGGTTCTTAAACTTAATCCCCTTTGCAAAGTCCCTTTTGCCATATAAGGGTAACATAGTCACAGGTTCCAGGGATCAGGAAGTGAATATTGGTTGCAGGGCCATCATTCTGCCTACCTCAATCACCTTTATGGCTTCTATCTTAAGCTTCCCTCTTTTTGAGAGATACTTGATGAAGGAAATAATGTATACAGTGGTCCATTTCCAAGACAAAGTGCCTTGAATCAACTTAGTTAAGCAAACTACAGAAGAAACAGGATAAACTAGGCCCCTGCTTGGATAGCTGATGCCTGCTTGTCAGCCTCCCGCTTCCCGGCCTTTTCCCGCCTTACTTGCCTTCACCCAAGCCAAAGAAGTTTCGTGTAAGATGAAATTTTGCTAGCCTGAAAAATAACTCGTTTTGTCTGTTCTTATCAGCCTGCCCAGCTACTTAGGTCATAAGTCAAACACTTAATAAACCCCTGAGCTAACTAGGATTGCAATGCATTGTGGGCTGCAACAAAATACATCAAGACAACCCTAAAAACAACACCTGAAGCTCCTACCCAACAATCAATAGGCCACGTCAGGGAAGACTGACCCCATAGTACTCAGCCTATGAAAAATCAGGGGAGGAACCTGTGCACTCCCCTGGTTTCTCATAGGCTGAGTTTTATTTATGTCATAGGGGATAAATTGCTTGTTGAAATTGTGCTGGGTGTGCCTGCCTATCAGACATACAATCTTGTAAGACCATCATTAAAAGTCTCATTTTTGCTGTTCTCCGGGTCTCTGAGTCCATTCTTTGGGTTTGGATGGGTAAGGTTGTTTCTCACACTCAAGAAATCATCTTTCATTACCCCAATGCTATCTCTCCAAAACTGACTTGAATCCAACCAGAATAAGTGTCATTCCAACCTTGGATTTACATTTATCTACTGTAAGAAGCCCCAGAATTTCTAGTCAACTGTCTGTTTTCAGACACTGTACTCCATCAAGTCCCATTTGTGCCCTTTTCTCATTCTTCCCCAACTCTCAACACTCTTCCTGTATGCCCTCATAATGGAATTCATAATTCATTAACAACCAACTCCTCTTTTATCGTCAACCACTTCCTTGAACGTGCCCTTTACATTCGGAGTCTAACAGAAACCAGAATCTATCCAGAGGACTCTGCAGCCCTCTCAACATTTCCCCGGCTACAGCCTCTTACCAGTGGGCCTGAAAATGGAACAAATGGCTGGCCTCCTTGCTGTTTATTACCTTCAGACCTTTCTTCCTCCCCTCCTCCACAAACTCTAGTTTTGAATTTCCTGCCATGAGATTATATATAAACTTACCACATCTCACTTTTGTTGATCTCTACCAAACACAGACTATTTTCCCTCTGTCTCTGAAATCTTGAGCTCATGGTTTGCTCTCTGCAGGACTATTACTCTTAAAAAAAAAAAAAAAAAAAAATTCTTGCATTTTTTTAACCACACCCACACAGATGAGCCTGGTTTACTTACTCTTGCCTGGACTTTTCCCTCCTCTCACGGCTCATTCCCAACAGCATGTTGATTGGTTGTTATTCCCCAGCCCTCTACCCCGACCAGCTGCTACATTTCTCTGTCCTAATTTACAGAGAAACTCTTGAAATACGTTGTCTACACTGTCTCCCATTCTTCTCCCCTCCTTCTAGATTGCCCCACTCCATCCAGCTACCAGCCAGCACAGAAACTGCTCCCCACACATTCACTAAGGACTATGCCTGTCACTCAACGCAAAGCTCAATTCTTTGTTTTCGGACCCATAGCGGGGGCTATGACCACCTTTACGGAGGCGGTCACGCACAACGTGAGATGCAGTCATAATCAAGTACATAGAATCACATTTAAATAGTCCATTATGGTCACACACAGCACCCGTCACCGTCGCGTGCGCGTACACACGTACACACATACACAGACCCCAGAAGCTCCAATCGCGGTCACCCCCACGTCCCGCTCCTGCATCACATTCACTCACGCCCCGACGGCTCCCATTGCGATCGCTAGCCCCGACGCTCCCTCGCAGGCAAAGCCACCGACTCCAAAGACGTTACCCCTCACTCCCCTCAGCCCCGGCCTCAGGCCCTCCCGAGTCATTCAGCTTCTGTGTCTTAGAGTTACTCACCCTGTCCTGCCGTCCCTTGATGGTGAAAGGTTCCCCTATTTCCCTATCGTTGCGAAAGGGACAGAGCGCTGACAGGAAGTTGCCGGGGGAACGGTGCACTCTGGGAAATGTAGTCCGGAGCCTGGGCTGCGTTTAACAGTCCGATATATCCTGGCCTCCATTAACCGGCCCTGAACTTGAGCCCTATCACCTCGCTAGGCAAAAACCATCGCCCACACACCGCTCACATTTGCGGTAGAGAGCTTCCGAGCATTCCAGGCCGCGTTTAGCACGCTTCAGCGGCGGCCTGTAGGCTGCCCTACCTCTGCAAACCTGCGCCCAGCCATGGGAATAGAACAGTGACCCCAGGCCATCTTAGGCTGCAAGTAGCGTTGGCCCAGACGGCCCCTGGGAAATGTAGTGCAGCGCCTGGAACGCTGCCGAAATGCCCCGGCGGGATGGTGCGATTGTTTTCAGCAGTTCAGGGCGTGGGCCTCTCACCCAAGTGGCGTGGCGGGAAAGTCCTACAAGACTGTGCCAAGAGAATGACGAGTCTGCCCCGTCTCTGTCTGAGCCTCGGTGAGGCTGGGTGGATACCTCTTATTCCGCAAGTACTAACCTGGGGTAGAACGAAGGGAAAACGGTCCAAGGGACACAATTACATGCCCAGCCCTACGGGGGTCCCCTGCCGAGGAATCCATGAGAACTCTTCCTAATACTTTATTGCCATCCTCCAATCGTCCTTAAAGTGTTTGTTTTCAATTAATGTTTATAGTCACATTAGTATTGTTTTGTAAATTCTATTCATTCCATTCTTTTGGCTGAAGTACACAATTGCTAGCTTTTTTCATTTGCTTCTCTTTTAGATATACATTATTTAGATCTACATCTAAACTTTCTGACAGAGGAGTAATTTTTTTCAGTACTTGCAAATTTATCAGGTAATTAAAATAGTTTTTTCTTTTTTTTAATGTGAAACAAAATACTCGAAGTGCATAAAACGTGTAAGTTCAGTAAAACGCCACACAAATGTTGGTATCTCAAGAACAAATTGACTCCAGCCTGTGTGATCATTTCTGATAACCAGCCCCAGCTCACCTTCAGGTTAATATCTTGACTCTTTAATAGTTTCAGTCTCTCTTTGAAATATATATAAATACAATCAAATTGTACAAATTTTCTGTCTTGATTAGTATAATACTAATTTTTTTAAGTTCTATAAGTACTTTTTGTTTGTTTTGGTTTTTGGTTTTTTTTTTAGGCAGGCTCTTGCTATGTTGCCCAGGCTGGAGTGCAGTGACTATTCACAGGTGTGATCCCACTACTGATCAGCACGGGAGTTTTGATCTGCTCCATTTCTGACCTGGGCTGGTTCACCCCTCCTTAGGCAACCTGGTATGTATAATTGAAGTCCCAAAAGAAAAGTAGAGAGAGCATGGAGAAGAATCATATTTGAAGAGATAATGGTAAGGAATTCCCCAAACTGATTAAACAAAGCAACCATAGGTTCAAGAAGTTCATCAAAACTCTGAGGAAAAAAAAGATTCTATAGTTAGCAAAAATCTCCTTCAAAAAAAGAAAGGAAAAGAAGACATTTCAGACAGACCATGAGAATCCATTGCCATCAGCACTCCAGTAAAAGAAATACTAAATGGAATTTTTCAAGAAGAACAAGATCTCAGATGAAACAAAAAGAAAGGTAGGCTGGGCATAGAGGCTCATAGCAGTAATCCCAGCACTTTGGCAGGCCAAGGTGGAGGTTCATTTGCATCCAGGAGTTCAAGACCAGCTTGGGCAATATAGCGAGACCTCATCTCAACAAAAAATCAAAAATTAGTCAGGTGTGGTGGCACACATCTATGGTCCCAGCTACTCAGGAGGTTGAGGTGGGAGGATCACTTGAGCCTGGGAGGTCGCAGCTGCAGTGAACCATGATCATGCCACTGCACTCAATCTAGGTAGCAGAGTCCCTGTTTCCAAAAAGGAAAAGAAAGAAATTTAGTAGGGAAGGAATAGCAATAGAAAGAGTAAATATGTGAATTAATATAAACGAATGTTGACTGCACAAAGTAATATATTGCCCTCTGGGGTTGTTTTTTTTTTTGAGATGCAGTTTCGCTCTTGTTACCCAGGCTGGAGTGCAATGGCGTGATCTCGGCTCACCGCAACCTCCGCCTCCTGGGTTCAGGTAATTCTCCTGCCTCAGCCTCCCAAGTAGCTGGGACTACAGGCTTGTGCCACCATGCCCAGCTAATTTTTTTGTATTTTTAGTAGAGACGGGGTTTCACCATGTTGACCAGGATGGCCTCGATCTCTTGACCTCGTGATCCACCCGCCTCGGCCTCCCAAAGTGCTGAGATTACAGGCATGAGCCACCACACCCGGCTCCTCTGGGGTTTTGAATGTATGCAGAATTAAATTTAAAAAATAAAGGAAAAATGAGGATGGAGGTAAATAGAGTTCAAGTGTCCCACTAAACTGAAAACTCTTAGGTGAGTGAGAAATAAACCTATCCTTTAAGTTAGAATCTTCAGGGGGCTACTTGTGTATTCCTTCCCTAGGGCTGTCATAACAAATTATTATAAACTTGGTGGCTTAAAACAACCAAATTATGTAAGAATTTTATTTTCTTACAGATCTACAGGCCAGAAGTCCAAAATCCAGACATCAGCAGGGCTTTATTTTTGCTGAAAGCCCTAGGGGAGAATCCTTGCTTGCCTATTCCAGCTTCTGATGGCTCCAGGTGTCCCTTGGCTTATGGCTGCATAACTCTGTCTTCAGAACTGTGGGAAATAATTTTCTATTGTTTACAATTACCTAGTCTCAGATATTTTGTTATAGCAGTACTAAGGGACTAAGACACTTCAGTTCCTGAAACAGCACCAGAGTAATAAATGTGAAAGATGTCTTTATTGTTCATAACAAACCACTTTCAACCACAACTGAGTTAATGAGGCGATGTTAGAAAAGTCCCTACATAACCACAGGATAGGGCAACCAAACTGTGATTAGAAGGTTGGAAAGTTCTGCCCTACTTGGTGACTTCTAGGGAAAGGAACAGAGCACATTAGGCATGGATCGCTTCTCTGTAGTCCAAATTTTTTTTGTTTTGTTTTGTTTTGTTTTAAGGAGCAGAGAGTTAAATAGGCAAGAAGGAAGGAAGAAGACAGAAGGAAGAAGCTCCCCCATATAAAGACAGAGGGAGGGGGCCTCCAAAGTTGAAAGAGGAGGTCTCCTTGTTTTGGGAGTTTTTTTGAGTCGGATTCTCACTCTGTCACCCAGGCTGGAGTGCAGTGGTATGATCTCAGCTCACTGCAACCTCCACCCCTTGGGTTCAAGTGATTCTCCTGCCTCAGCCTCCCAAGTAGCTGGGATTACAGGCACCACCATGCCGGTTAATTTTGTATTTTTAGTAGAGGTGGAGTTTTATCATGTTGGCCAGGATGGTCTTGGTCTACCCACCTCGGTCTCCCAAAGTGCTGGGATTACAGGGTTTTTTGCGGGGAGGGGTAGAGAGTATGCAGTTCAGGCTGGTTTCAAACTCCTGGCTCAAGTGATCCCCTGGCGTCAGCCTTCCAAAGTGCTGGGATCACAGGCATGAACCACCGTGACTGGCCTTTTCTGCCATTGTTAAAAGCTTCAGGGTTATATTTTACATCAGCATTTCCTGTTGTTATATACTTCCTGCCATCATATTTCAGCAACCTCTACCACCTCCGAAAGTTTCTAGCTTAAAAAATTATCCATGTCCTGCTAGCTCCCCTTTCTGTCAGCTTTTTAATTTTACATTTGTATTCAAATGAATCATCACGTTGATTTAAAAAATTTAAACAAGATTATAGTGAAAAAGAAGTTTCCCTTTCACTATTTATCTTCCCCATATGCATCTATTATGATGGGTTTCTTTTTAAAACTACTTTGAGCCGGGCGCGGTGGCTCAAGCCTGTAATCCCAGCACTTTGGGAGGCCGAGGCGGGTGGATCACGAGGTCAAGAGATCGAGACCATCCTGGTCAACATGGTGAAACCCCGTCTCTACTAA